CAATGAGGAAGGTATCTTTGGGATACCATTGGCCAAACCAAGAAGAGAAAAAGGAGGTGATTGATGACACCGACCCTTAGGCATTTGCTTTTTTAGTAACTAGGAGGATCTTCTCTCTCTCCCCCAGTAAAGTTGGGAAGGAGGGGGTGCAATTTGACTTTACTTTGCATGGACCTTTTCGCTTTGTGCGTAGTCTAATTTCACGCCACGATCAACGCTTCGAATCAACGGGGACGCGTGATGCGCAGATGTGATGATGATGATGATTGATGGTGATCTCCAAACGTGCCTTGAATGCAGGCCGGCCATTCTCGACCTCTTCCTTTCTTTCTTTCTTCTCCTCCTCCCTCGCAAGTCACACACACGTCACACGCGAACTGTGTCCATTTGGCATCCTCTAGGTCGTTCAAGACTCTTGACTTCTCTCGGCCACAAAGATAATCATCCAAAAAAGTCATAATCTTGTTGTACGACGGTCAATTCAGTCTTAAACTTTTCGATTTGACTAATTTTAGTTATCAACTTTTTGACGATTTACCAATGTACTCCTTCCGACCTTTTTTGGCCGAAATTGCTAACATTGGCATACGGTGACACTGACGAATTTTGCAATTTTGTCAACATTGATTGGAAGAACTGTATTGAAAAATTATCAAAAGATTTATGATTAAATTAAAAAAAAAATTAAAATCGAATTGGTCATTATACGATAATTTTTTTTTGTTGATAATTTCTTTCCTTTTTATATTTCTCTATCTCCTGGTCAACTGTGGGGTTTTTGTGACCATCCTTGAAATCAGGGAGATTTTATCCAGCAATTGATTTTCTGCATCCCTTCACTTTTAATGATTTTCATTTAGTCTCGAATATATAATTTTTTTTTTACGCATGACATTCAACGTCATGTGAAGTTTTCGACAAAAGAAAATCGTCTGCCCGTTTCGTCAGATCTTTTCCTGATTTTTCGATTATTTTGTACTTTCAACTGGAAATAAAGAAATCGTTTTTTTTTGGGTGTAAATGTCGATTTCAGACATATATGCATCATCAGCTTTTTTGCGGGGGCCTCGCATGAAAAGTAAGGGATTCTGCAGAGCCAATCTGCGTCGTTCATCGGTCGGTGTGGGCCCACGCAGCGTGGGGGTGATCATCTTTTACGATGGATGTGATGTTTTTCGTTTCAATCACGAAAGCTGTCGAATTAAAAATTGCTTAAAAAAATATGAACTTTCAAATTATTGATTTTATTTGACCAAAAAAAAAAATTAGTAATTTTGTGAAAGTTGACACGATTCAACAGGAGCTCCTCAACTCCGGCTCAAACCTTAAGCAAATCTTATTCGTGTTCAATTGATTAAATCCGGCGAGCGAGTGAGCACAAACAAAAATAGATTAGGAGTATCGAAAAGCCAATCGAATGTCATTGATCACGATGTAATATGTGACTATCAACCATAGTTAGCTATTTTTGTTTTATGGAATTGACGAGATTATTTTCATCGACAAGTACTGCCGGAACTATTATTGAGTAACCAAATAGAAAATATTATATTTTTTTTACGAATTTACAATTTTGGCAGGAAAAGAAACAAGCATGCCCAAATCTTATTCTTGTTTGTTTTTTTATTTTCAAGTTATCACTGACTTTGATTACCAACTATTCATGATCATAAAAAAAAAACCGTACCCACTAATTGGGATTTGATCGAGTTGAGTGTGCCGTGCAAGTATGGTATCAAGCTCGTGCTTGACTTGAATAGAAATTCCAAAAACTTAAGCTCGACTTGATTGTACTAGAATTTTATATAAACTCGAGCTCGAGATTTATAACATCAACTATTTTCCTTGCATGTGTGTGTATGTGGGAAAAGCATGAAGGGCTTTTTTTTTTTTTTTGTCTTTTTCGTAATTATAACATATCTTTTGAAACAATGATAGAAACTCGACTAAGCTCCTGAGGTTGTCAAGCTTAGTAGTGGCGAGCTGGAGCTTGACTTAACAAAATAACTTGAGCTTCAGCTCAACTCGAAATTAGACGAGTCGATGTCGAGTAATCATCGAGCTGAGCTCTAGCTATTCACAAACGACTCGACTCGACTCGAATACTCTACTGCTCACTAGTGTCCCTGGTACTAGATAGAAAAATCAAAATATTCCATTGAGAAAATTAATCATCATAAAAGGAAATAGTAAATTTAAGGGATAATTACACAAATAGTTCTTGAACTTTGATCTAATGTGCAATGTAGTTCCCAAACTTTTAATTTGTTCCATGTTATTGATGAATTTTGGTCCAACACGCAATATCGTCCATGAATTTATAATGTGTCCAATGTGATCCCCGAACTTTAAGTACATGTTCAATTTAGTCCCTAAATTATATGAAAATTATCAATACCGTCCCCGAACTTGAAACTACGGAAGGACAATATCGAACATTTTTATATACCAAGAGTGCAGGAACCACATCGAACAAATTAAAAATTTCTGGAACGAGGACAACATTGCACATCGGTCTAACGTTTATGGATCATATTGAACAAATTTAAATTCGGTGACTACATCACATACATATTAAGTTAAAGTTCACGAACTGTTCGTGTAATTTTTTTTCTGAAATTTAACGGCACGGATCCAAGCTCTCTTTTTTCCCCGTTTGGGGCCGGCGTGTTCTTTGGTGGACATCCTAATAAAAAGGAAAAATGACACAAACAGTCCCTGAACTTTGGCCTAATGTGCAATTTGGTCCCTAAACTTTTAATTATTTTAATTTAGTCCCTGAACTTTAGGTTAATGTGCAATGTGGTCCTTGAACTTTTAATTTGTTCAATGCCATCCCTGAACTTTTGATACATGTTCAATTCAGTCCTTGAATTATATGAAAATCTTCAATATAGTCCTTTCCATTAATTCAAATTCAGGGACTACATTGAGAATTTTCATACAATTCATGGACTGAATTGAACATGTACCAAAAGTTCAGGGATGATATTGAACAAAATAAAAGTACAGGGACCACAGTGAATATTAACTTAAAGTTCAGGGATTATATTAAAATAATTAAAAATTTAGGAATAAAATTATATATTTAGGTAAAATTTTGGGACTGATGTGTCATTATCCCTAATAAAAAAAAGCCAGAAGGCGTGGTCGGAGAGAGAGAGAGAGAAAGATGAGAAAATCGTGCAGTCGCGTTGTGAGGGAAGGGGGCGACCGAGTCAAACGATTCCTCGTTTTACATTTTCTCCCCGCGGTTCCTGTCCTGCGATGCTGGGGCCCACCACTGCCCACGTGGCTTCGGACAGCGCGTTGGACGGGCTTGCTGACTCAGCAACCCGTTCGTGACGTGGGGTGCGTATGATGGTGTATTGACGAGTATAGCCCCCCTGGGCAGGTATAACCACCGTAATGCCACCCACTAGTAGTATTTCCTCCCAGAAGTTGCTGTTTATCGGCTTCAGCTTTTTTTTTTTGTTTTAATTTGACCCTCAGAAGACAGATAATATTAATAGAAAAATTGGTGCCAAGGAAATATGAATCCTTTCATCTAGCCAAGTTTATACCACCATTCCAATCTCATGCTCTCCATCATGATAAAATATTTTGTGCGACGAATATAAAAAACTAACGTAACCAATCGATTAAAAGTAAGATTAGTGCACACGTAACACCGAGTGAGATGGGATTCATGACGCGTGAATAATGGTGATTGGTTAGTTATGCCGTGTCATAATTGTTAGGTGATGCATATATCATGATTATTATGAATTCGCCTGTTACATGTCGTGCAACAGTTAACAGTATCCTTCTATGATATTATCTTAATTGAATATATGACTCGATAGAATGACCATTTGAATTTTTAGAGGATGCAAAAGCATAGGACATTATGTGAATTCTTCAGCTAGTTATCTTATTTAATTATGAGGTTGGAACTTAATTGAAAAAAATTGGCAACTCTCCATAGTAGGGATGAAGAAATGAATGTATATATATGTATTTTGTATAGCTATCTAACCATCTTATATGCTATTTTTTTTAACATTTGTATAAGATTAGGGTTGGATAAACGTTTGCGGAACACCAAGTAGGGTCTCGCACCTCTTTATATGAGAAGATACAAATTTCCAAAGGCAAATTTTGCTCATAGTATTGGCTTTCAGTCATTTTGAGATACTACCCCACCTCACAAACCCGTAGAAGCCAAAACCCCATTTTACAAATTCTCGTGTTATTAAGCAGTTTATTTGATGCATCAGGATTCTGTTAATTCAATGTGTCACAGTCGTTAAATCACGTGAATTGCACGTACAATCCACTAAATTTTTTTAATTATAATATACTCTACTCACAGAAAATGGATGCATCTCATTTACTTTTCCAATGTTACTCGGCCTCTTCCATCAAGAGAGTGTCCATGATAGCCTTTAAGACCAAAGTCAATAGTCATAAGTGCCAAACATCAAAATAAGGCGTTCTCATTTTCAAAACTCGTTGAACAAGACTCCCGCACGACACAAGTGCTCTATAAGTGTTTTGACCTTTAATCCATTCGGCCAAAATGCAAATCCTTGGACAACTGACAATCAACACGCCCAAACCGCGAGAAGGACACCGCGCAAAACTCACCCGGTAACCATTTCGCGACCTACAAAAGAAGCCACCACATTTGCCATCTCTCTTCAATGATTGCAAACGCAAATCTCTCCTAATTCTCTTTTCCAAGACAACATTCTCCCCCCTTTATTCCCACCATATGTCACATGCATTGGACTGAACCTAGGGCCAACATTCCCTTTTCACATGATGATGTTCATGTGATTGCTAGGCCACACTCCCAAAACGTCCCCCAAACACCACCACCCCAACCCACAATAATACATACAACCCTAACAAAGGGTCCTCCAATAATTTCGGTGCACGTGAAGGGCAGATTGGGGAATAAAGAATCTCTTCTCTACTTAAGTACAAAGAAAGGAAAGAAAACAAAAGCAAAAAGAAGAAAGAAACGGTCTCGTCCTTAGCTCCTCCTCCTCAAAGCCTTGAACACCACCCATCTTTCTCTCCCTCGCATAACTGCCCCAACCGCCCTTCTTTAACCCTCATTTTAGTCCATCTCTCTCGTCAATCGCTCCCCTTTTCTCTTTCGTATTCTTCTTCCCTCGTCATCATCGTCATCATCGTCATCATCGTTTCCGAATACCTGGAAAAGAAAAGAAAGAAGAACAAAGAGCAAGGAGACGCCATGCCTGCCACGGAGTACCAGGGCTCCTTCCTGGGCCGCATCAGCATCCGCCGCAGCCAGGTCGTCTCCATGGACGGCCACCACGAGCAGGAGCTCGAGGACCTCGACCTCTTCCAGCGCAACATCGCCGACCGCTTCTCCGAGCTCCTCCCCTCCCCTCCTCCTCCTCCTCCTCCCCCCGACGGCGGTGATGGCGACTCCTCTGCCTCCGCCTCCGCCGACGTCACCTTCCTCTCCGTCGCCTGGCTCCGGAAGCTCCTTGACGTCTTCCTCTGCTGCGAGGCGGAGTTCAAGGCCTTCCTCATCATGGGCCGCGAGCGCGACCCTTCCGTCATCACCAAGCCCCCCCTCGACCGCCTCCTCCCCGAGCTCCTCGACCGCGCCGTCAAGGCCCTTGATGTGTGCAACGCGGTCATGAACGGTGTCGATGCCGTCAGGCACTGTCAGAAGCTCTCGGAGATCGCGGTCGCCGCCCTCGAGCAGCAGCCGATTGGAGAGGGCCAGGCCCGGCGGGCGAAGAAGGCGCTCGGATCGATGATGGCCGTGCTGGCCGCCGAGGATAAGGAGAGCAGCAGCCATAGGTCAACGGAGAGGACTTGGTCTTTCGGGCGGAGAGGCGGCAGCGCCGGCACGAATAAGGATCGATCGGCAGCTGCGCAGTTCCGGACGCTCTCCTGGGGCGTGTCGAAGAATTGGTCCGCATCGAAGCAAATTCAAGTACGTTGTTGACACTGAAAGAAAAATTGAATACTCTTGAGATGGTTTAATCCGAAACCGATACACATTAACTCGTTTATCAAGCTATAGATTGGTTATTCCACAAGTCAAATGTGATTTTCAGAGTCAAATTTTCCTATTAGTTTGTCTGAAGTTCCGATCGGTGCGACTTCTTTGGCTAATGGTTGATTACCGAATCGTCGAATTCAGGCCATGTCAGCGAACCTGGTGGTGCCGCGAGGTGCAGAGGCATCCGGGCTCGCCCTGCCGGTGTACATCATGGGCGCAATCACAGTGTTTGTGATGTCGGCACTGGTGGCGGCAATCCCGTGCCAGGAGAGGAGTGGGTTGGCGATGCACCTGCAGGTGCCGAAGCAGTTCGCGTGGGCGCAGTCGATGACCGCACTGCAGGAGAAGATCGGGGAGGAGTGGAAGAGGAAGGAGAAGCGGGGGACGGCAGGGCTGATGGAGGAGGTGCAGCGGATGGAGCGGCTGGGGCAGGCGCTGGCCGAGTTCGCGGACTCATTCCAGTTCCCATCTGAAGGGGAGCGGACCGAGGAGGCGGCGGCGAGGGCGGCGGAGCTGGCGGAGACATGCCGGAGGATGGAGGAGGGGCTGGTGCCGCTGCAGATGCAGATCAGGGAGGTGTTCCACAGGATTGTGAGGAGCAGGAGCGAGGTGCTTGATGTGTTGGTCCAGGCTGGTAAATTGTCTGCTCCCACCATGTAAAAGGTTGTCTTGTGGCCAAGGTTTTCATTAACTTCTTTAGGGGATTAAACCCAAATTAATTGGTGGTAATTAGGTGCAGTTTTGTTGCAAGTGGCATGGTGTTGTTGAGCTGAGGGAGGATAAATTTTTAGGCCATTTTTAGGAGGTTAGAGGACATATGGTTTCACCTTTCAAAAGCTGTAAGATGCGGTGCAAGCAAGTCTGAAAGTGTTCATTTTCTATGCGTTTTCTTGTGTTGAGGATCATCTCTTTGGTGTGTAGAAGTTTGTCATCGTGAAATACAAAATGTACATATTCTGATTATGACCAGTGCCTATGGTGTCCATAGACATGTGATTAAATTTTTCCCCCACTTCATTGACGATGGTTTCTCTTCTGGGTTGTCAGATTGCTGTTTGATTTCTGTTGCTCAGGGGAAGAGTTTGATTGGTTTGAGATTTTGAGCTTGGGGTTGCGTTTTGCAATGGTGTTGGAGTCTTGGGACAGGTTGCTTTGTGGTGTTGCTCTGCTGTCTCAAAAAGAGGGAGCAACACTTTGCTTCTGACAAAAATCAATCGCTATTAGGTCTTCCTTATCAAGCAAGATTCAAGACCCATTACTGCTCCTTTTTTCCCAAAACTCTTTGGCTTTTTCTTACTTCTCTAGAATACCTATTAGGACATCTCTAAAGAGTGAAATTATGCCTCTTTTCGAAGTGAATCGGCCATTAAATATAATAACCTAACCCTTTTCACACGTGTCAAGTCTAAAAAATGACTAAATTATCCCTAAAATCAATGCGAGCATTTTTTCTTTTCGGCCTACTTTCCTGCTGTGATCAAATGAGGATGGATAAGAGGCTTTTTAACCATTCCAATCTTTTGGTGTGGAAGCTTCTTAGTGTAGCCACAGAAGGTGGTAGCCAGTGGAGGAGTGCATTTACCTATAAATGAATCAGTAGGCTACTTTCGACCAAAAAATAAATAAATAAATCAATAGGCTACTTCCATCCATAGGTTTTTGGGATATCACAAATTCCACTGCTTAAAAAGCAAACATCTTCATCAGTGTTGGCCTGCATGGCCCAATAATTTTTTACAATCTTTGACGCGTGTTCATAAATACATCCATCTTAGAAGTCGAGCAGGAGCATCGTCCTATTCGAGCCCTCTTGTCCCAGACAATGAGGCCCTATCCTCATTAGGCTGTAATGGGACTAACTGTCCAAGATTTACACATCTATCGACGGGAGTCGCACTTTGATTTGTTGTGTGTAACGATTTAACCCGTTCATGTGGACTAAATCCCCAAATAGAATACTTGGTAACCACACGAGATAATGATCGTTTGGAAGTAGATGTTTACTTATGAATCACTCTGCAAGACCTCTCCCATCCAACAAGGGAATCCAGGATGCTGTAATAAAAAAATTCACAAAAATAATAAAACCATGGGGATTAATTCCCGAAAAATTACGAAATTCATGTAGATAAACTTTCATTTCGTTCATTTGAGTCCTAAAACGTGTTAAGATGCACGTGTAAGGGTATTAGGCAAAAGGAGTCCTGCATCAAAGATGTGGTGCAACGTGAAGTAGTTAATGCTTCTATACATGCTATGCGTAAGCATTTTTTGGAGCTAGGCAAGCATTTCATTTCGCCACCTTAGCTAACAATATGCATGCATAAATAAAGGTTGCATCATGGTGGTGGGCGACTCATCGCTTAGTTTTACTCACTATAACATTCGCAAAGTACATACTCTCCCAAAGGGTGACAAAGTAAGATTCAAGTATCGTGTAATGGGTCATATTAAAAGAATCTAAAAGGTAGCACATATATCCAGGGGAAAGGCAACATCCGCTACCGGATCAATGATTTGAGCGAGACATCCTAGGTCCTTTTTTATTTAAGTGTGGAATATCGATAATCTTCACAAAAAACAAACCATTGGAACGCAAAAAATTATCAGTTCAAGCTTGTATTTCACATTGAAATGCGTGCTTGGGACGTTACAATTTAAGAACTAGACAAACATACGAACCAAGTCGCCGCCCTTTCTTTTAATTGTTTTTCCCCCAAGATTGCCCACATACAATTTGAAGAAGAGTCGCCCTATCCTTTTGTCATTTGCTTCTTACATTGGCTCATCCGATGGATTGATTCATCATGTCACGCGATTGCAATTGGGAACGCAATCGATCGCTAAAATAGCTCAACAAATAACCCATTATTAGCGGGTATAGATTTCTGTATCGCACTTATCGAATCAACACACGGATAGGGAATCAAAATTTGGGAATCCAATCAAATCGTAAGATCCGACGTAACGCTTAAAATTTCATTTTCTCAATATAGAAGCACTTTAAAAAGTCCAAAGATTTATGGCAAACTAATATTCTTTAACTAAAGCCAAAAACAGGAACGTTCACACCACATCGTGTACTCCACTTTGGGAGATTCAATAAAAGCACGAACTGCCAAAAATTTCTCCAGTCTCCATGAAGAGGGAAAACCCTAATGTTTCCCTTAGAAGACTTGTTCAAAAGTTTCTCACCCCATCACATGTCCATAGAGTCCAACAGGGTTGCTTAAAGATTAATCCAACTTGACTATAATGGAATGTGACCCCCAGCAGTTCAATCCATGTCGGCTCAATCTTCAATTTCTGAACCACATCGAAAGGTTTTTTCTTTCTTTTTTCTTTTATGTTTCCCCAAAACCACGACAAAAGGTTCAATGCTTAATGATTGATGATGAGGGTATTGTCCTCTTCTCAAGTTGCTGGGCCTGATAGGATTCGGGTTCATTGGAAGTGGAAGCAGCAATAGCAAACCCTCTGACCCGTAAGAAGACCCTAAAGAACCGGAAATGGAGCAAATTTTTGGACCTGTCCTCTGCATCTGGGCCGCCGGCTATGTGTTGCGAGTGCTTTCTCGTCATAGTGACAGGCCCAACAATGTGAACCGAGCTTCCAAAAAGAGTAATCAAGTGGTGACCGTTTGAGGGTGAATCTCTACCTAGAGATCTTTTCACAAACTTTCCTTTCATTGAATGTGGGGTTTTAGTGAATTTCTAACTTCTTACTTATAACATCGATGTTCTCATGGATGTTTGGTTCCATCATTGAATGATATACCCTCTATCTGTGCCCAAATTGTGACTATTTGAATGTGGGCCTTTGAACCAAGGAGTATCAAATTACACTTTCATCTAACAGTTTAACATTGGCTGTGGTACCGCAAAATTTGCATTTCAACTTTAACAACCAAAGGGCCGGTGTTATTGCCGAACTTGGACAACCACATCACCAAACAAGGCCTAGCTTCTTGGATGTATCCGCAATAAATAACCCCAGTCAAGGCATTTGGGTATAGGACCCAAATTATTGAGAAAATATTCAGTGGTTACCAAACACCACGTCATCGTCCTATGTGGCGTGCGTGTTCCACCCAAAAGACGACATGTGTCGCGTGACGTGGCAATGGAAGGAAGTCCTTTTGTCTCTCTCCTCTGGCTGGTTGGTGGGGAAAGTACTGACCACAGTAAATATTTATTACCTCTGCGCTCTCGCTCTCTCTCCTCTCTCCTCTCTCCTTTCTGTAACGTGAAGGAGGTCTTTTGCCTTCTCTCTCTTCTGCAACCCATTCTCTCTTCCTCTCCCGAGCTCACCCGAAGCCCTCCCCTCCTTCTTCTTCTTGGCCTCCGGCCTCGCCTTTCCGACTTCGGCTTCAGAAACCGTCTGGAGAAACCGCCTGCCTCGGGTTTCGATTTTGGGCTCGGACGATTTTGATGGGGAAGTGATTTCCTTTTGGCGCCTAAAAATTGAATCTTGACTTTCCAAACACACTGAAATTCCAGTGCAAACGCTCATCTCATCGGCTTTCGTAGCTTCATCTGCTAAACCCATCTTCTCTCTCGCTCGCTTGCTCGCACTTTCTGAGTTGGGCATGGCTGACCCGATCTCGAGTCAGCTGGAAATTATAGGCAAACTCAAGTGTTCTATATGCTGAATCTGCCATACCCAGAAGAAAAAGAAGATAACTTCTCTCCATTTTTCTCAATAGCGCTTCAGCTTCTGATAGTTCTTTCTGCTTTCTGCCAGATGTTCTGTTCGTTTGATTTGAAATTCATAGGATTAATCAACTCGAGACGGATTGATTTCTTTATTTTTTTGGGATTCGTTCATATTTGGTTAGCGAAGTTGTCGCATTTGAGTTTGAATCGATGCTGGATAAACTCGTTGACATATTTTAAAAAAATTGGAGTGTGAACCCTTTACTTATTGCTGTTCGGTTATTGGATTTGTCTATTAGAGAATTGATTGCAGTGTTGTTGATCTTTTGCAGCTTGCTTGAGATGTTATTTTATTGAAGTAGTTCGAATTAGTTGATTTAGAAAAGGAGATGCTCTGCTATGAAGTCCTCTTTTTCGTGTGGTGTATATCCTCGCCCTCACGGATCTAATGTTCTACGCTGGTGTGTTGGGATTGGTCTTTCTTTTTACGTTATTTCGCGCTTATTGGTTGGAGACGTGCTACATTATGCCTTGATTCCACCTCTAGAAAAACATGAGAAACATTTGAGAGAGAGGGGAGAGGGGTTGCCAATGGCACCTCAAACTAGCATGATGATGAATTGCGACATGAATCATACAAAACGATCCATTTTTATTTTTTTTTGTATCTAGATCTCGCTTTGAAAACTCATCCGTCGCAAGTCACAACTATGAGGGGACTCTAGCTACACTATCAACAACAATCCTAAGCTATGCTATTGAACAACTATGAGGGGACTCGATTTTCTATTGAAGCTCCCTTCATGATGGGTGCTTACAGAAACTCCAAGACAAGAAGGGAAGCCATTGCATTAGGACATAAATCATGTATGTTAAACAACTTTCACAGCCGCGACAACGGAAAAGAATATTTTTTCAAGTGAAATTAATGGATAGACCCACTCCGTATACATAGAAATAAAACATAATATACATGATACAATAGCTTGATCATTAATCTTAGATTTCATGAAAATGAATAGAAATCTCACAAGCTTCTACACAAGCAGAGTTTGGTAACTCCGGCGATTTCAGAATGTAAGTGGCTAAGGTAAAAGAACTTAATTGCGCAGTATCTTTTTACAAGTAAAGAATGAATAGAATGTTGTGAGAGCCTTAATCCGTTCCTTTCCATCTTCCCTGCAAAGCCTATGATCAGATGTAAGAGCCTCTTCAGTGCCGGCTCAACAAAGAACAGCTTGATAATCTCTAGCCTTAAACACGAAGTGGTTGCCCCTTCTAATCAACGCAGTTACACAGCATGAGCTGCCTCGTGATTCCTCATTCAAAAAATCCAAATCGGTCTTCAGGTAACTGT